ACGAGTAATACATGCAAAGAAAAAAAAATCAAAAAAAAAATAAAAAAAAAAAATAATGATTATATACTATTTACAGAGTTTTGGATCACCCTAAGTAATACAAAAATAATAATAATAAAAAAAAATCAAGAAAAAAAAATCAAGCGAAAAAAAAATTGGATTTTTGGATCACCCTAATTAAACACCAATCTAATATTGGACCAGGGAAACAAGGAAGATGCTATACTGGCGAGAACAATACAAACGACACGATTTATACCTAACGCACTGAGGCGGCAGCAGACTGGAGAGATATAATTGTTTGATCCAACGGCTGCAGAGTCAATAACCTCGATGCTGGTGTGCCTCGGTCGACTCGGTAGGCAATATGACGCTCTTTCGTTGTTGCTATCGATGGGGTGATGTACCGATAGTGGTGATGATTTTGCTGATGATGTTGCGATGATGCTGGGTTAAAGCTGAACCGTAATGAAAGCACTCGGCATATCATTAACGGCTTCCTCACTCGCGCACTAGTCGTCTAAACACTATGCCAATTAACTTTGGCGAGAAAAAACCCTCGCGTGGGGAAAAACTCAAAACTCAAATGATAGTGTCGTACAACGAGACCGATACGACTTGATCGGCTCAGCGTGCGAGACGGAATGGAAGTTTTGGATTGTTATTGATCGAAATTAAAAAAAAAATCAACTTATAGGGGAAAACGGGCAATTTGTGCCACTTCTCGATCTTTGACGTTAAAGGGGTTACCAGCATTCAATTCCTTGGACTTTTTTACGTAAGGTAGCATGGTTTTTGATCGCCTTCATCGAAGTTGCGGATTGTTATTGATCGAAATTAAAAAAAATGCAACTTATAGGGGAAAACGGGCAATTTGTGCCACTTCTCGATCTTTGACGTTGAAGGGATTACCAGCATTCGATTCCTTGGACTTTTTTTACGTAAGGTAGCATGGGTTTTGACTGCCTTTATCGAAGTTTTGGATTGTTATTGATCGATATTTTGAAAAATTTTAATATTTAGGGGAAAACGGGTGAATTAGGCCACTTTTTGATCTTTAACATGAAAGGGGATAACGGCATTCGATTTCTTGTACTTTTTTACGTAAAGCAGCTTGGTTTTTGAATGTCTTTATAGAAGTTTTGGATTGTTATTGATCGAAATTAAAAAAAAATCAACTTATAGGGGAAAACGGGCAATTTGTGCCACTTCTCGATCTTTGACGTTGAAGGGGTTACCAGCATTCAATTCCTTGGACTTTTTTACGTAAGGTAGCATGGTTTTTGATCGCCTTCATCGAAGTTGCGGATTGTTATTGATCGAAATTAAAAAAAATGCAACTTATAGGGGAAAACGGGCAATTTGTGCCACTTCTCGATCTTTGACGTTGAAGGGATTACCAGCATTCGATTCCTTGGACTTTTTTTACGTAAGGTAGCATGGGTTTTGACTGCCTTTATCGAAGTTTTGGATTGTTATTGATCGATATTTTGAAAAATTTCAATATTTAGGGGAAAACGGGTGAATTAGGCCACTTTTTGATCTTTAACATGAAAGGAGATAACGGCATTCGATTCCTTGGACTTTTTTACGTAAAGCAGCTTGGTTTTTGAATGTCTTTATCGAAGTTTTGGATTGTTATTGATCGAAATTAAAAAAAAAATCAACTTATAGGGGAAAACGGGCAATTTGTGCCACTTCTCGATCTTTGACGTTAAAGGGGTTACCAGCATTCAATTCCTTGGACTTTTTTACGTAAGGTAGCATGGTTTTTGATCGCCTTCATCGAAGTTGCGGATTGTTATTGATCGAAATTTAAAAAAATGCAACTTATAGGGGAAAACGGGCAATTTGTGCCACTTCTCGATCTTTGACGTTGAAGGGATTACCAGCATTCGATTCCTTGGACTTTTTTTACGTAAGGTAGCATGGGTTTTGACTGCCTTTATCGAAGTTTTGGATTGTTATTGATCAATATTTCCAAAAATTTCAACTTATAGGGGAAAACGGGTGAATTGGGCCACTTTAAGATTTTTGACATCAAAGAGGATACTGGCATTCGATTCCTTAGACTTTTTTACGTAAGGTACAATGGTTTTTTAATGTCTTTATCGAAGTTGCAGATTGTTATAGATCGATATTTTCAAATATTTCTCATTTATAGGGGAAAAAGGGAGAAATCGGACGTTTCCTTCCATTTTTCCGGAAAGGGGTTGGCACCATGAGATTCCCCGAAATTTTTTGCATAAGATTCACTATCTTCCGTAAGCTGAAAACCCGTTTCTGAATTGCGTCTGTTTTTTTGCTCGAAATAAGCCACTGTGATTGTTTCGATTTTGTCCCCAGTGTGGAATGGTTTGCATTGAAATAATGCATTTTACAAGTATGTTGTCTTCGGAGGAAATGTTCCTAACAATATTGTGAAACAATCTACGGGAGTGAAATATGACCTTTCATACAAAATAGTTGTGCAATTGATCAGCAAAGTTAGCGACCACTATGAGTGTGGTCCAAAAATTAATCTTAGAAAGTGGTTTAAAGAAAATTTAAACAATAAATAAATCTTTCAAAAATTGCTAGAGATAGCAATTTTAGTTCCTTAATTTTGCACGGAAGAGTTTTTTCGATTGAGCGCTGCATTATTTTGTAAAAAAAAACGATGAAGTGAGTCATTCTAAACCGATCTACTTTCACCTTAATCACACTTGTAGTGACGTCATAGCGTTGGTTTCGATCGGCGCTTGCATAGGAAATTTAATATGGATTATAGAATTAATGTATGTTACCAAAATTTATGAATGGTCTGCCGCTAGATCGAGATTTATTGATTATTGAATTATCACACTGTATGCCATGAAAAAGTAAGCAGCCTGTTTGTGAGTGTTTGCCTGTTTTCAAGTAAGGAGTTATCATAAAATAACAAATCGCCAGCTGATCTTTCCCGGCGACTTAGCAAAAGAATACAATCAAGCTAAATCATCAGGCAAAAATAGCTAGGATTTGTTTTACTTCTTATTTCGCAAATTTGCTTTCGAGTGTAAAGACGTTGTTGGCACAATTTTCCTAGTTAGAAATATTAAGTAAATGCCTTATTATAAGCAGCAACTTCTTTGCCGATGAAATTGCAGTTTCTGTGTCATTGTCTCATTGTCATTCCTGGATCAATTGTTGTTGCCAAAACTATACGAATTTACAAATGTTACAGGCTCTAGCTTTCAATTAAAAACTCTCTAATCGATATCATTTATAATTTTTCTCATCCATCAATTATCCAAAACGACCCAGACGGCGTTGGACAACATTACAATTGCAAATGAAGCTCCCCTCTTTTGAGACTGTTGGATTCGCAAGTGGAAACAATTTATTTATTTATTTATTCAGCTTTATGAAATGCCTTCAAGGGCATCCCGCCTTCCGCAAATCGTAAGTAAATGTTGATGTACTACGCATAAATTTGCTCCCGTCAAGAGCCACGTCGCGTCATTATTCACTCGAATCCCTCGTCGACAGTTGTTTTCCCCAGCTCTGAGGAAAATTCCCCAACCCTGGACATGGCAAAATTTGTATACAAAGTAAACCTGTGGATAGCTCTCAGAGATAGAAAATCTGTCACATTATTCTCACTTTGTGGGCTTGGATTCGGGACATAGGCTTTTCCTCCCTCGAGGAAGTTTGTTAATGGAAAACAGTGAAAAATATGATTCTCTTCGGGGAAGGACGCAATCCATGCCAAGTCGGATGGAAGCAATCAGACATTAAGTATGAATTTTATACAAACATGCACCTAAATATAGTGATTTATTCAACAAATGTCCCAAAATTAAACTTGGCAAGCCTCGTTGGATAAATAGACGACTCGTGCTGAAAAAATATTCATTTTCCAACTTGTTGCATAAATAACTATTTTGGTACTCAATGCTGAAAAGTGTTTTTTTTTTTGCACTCGAAAGTGTACCGAATAGAAAAAAAAGGTCGTTATATTATTCTAAAGTGTGACGAAAAGTAGCACTTTTCGGTATAGTGAGCCAAAAATAAAGCTATGTTCAAAGTTAATAATTGAAGGCACAAAACACACCCATGTCCGTTTCAGCATGGAATTCACTTAAAACAAACAACTGGCCGCGCTTGTTTGAATCGTCTTTTATTTTCGTACACATGCCACGGAGCTGGCGAACTGGCTGTTTGTTTTCCTGCTATGGAATATCAAACACATCCCAATTTCTCGTTATTGTTATCTCTTCTTACTCTGTCCTCTTCGAGCGGTTCCTTAGAAGGAGCGGAGCAGAAACCTCCCCATTCCAGCAAGGGGGCTATATTTTACAAGGCATTTTATATTTCATCATCAAAATACGACTCATCCCTACTCTCTTACCACTCTAATGCTATGTATGTGCCACATAGGCGACGGCGGCCGACAGCGCCGACGTCTTTCAAGCATAGCAGCAAGTCTACATGTATTTCATCCTACTCTCTGCAAGGAATAATATTAATATTAATAATATTAATATTCCATTCAATTCCAACTGCTACTTGCTATCTATCTTTCACGTGAAGTTCTTTGTTGCTCCAGTGAAATCCGTATTCATGTTTCGAACTCAATTGAAATGTAAATTGAGGGTGTATGTTTGTTGCGGCGAAAGATGAATGGTGTTCGTTGATGACAATTTTCCATGAAACCAGCCATTATTTCCGTTTAGCTTGAATCGTATTAAAAATTATGCTACTACCAATAAATTATTTCTACCCTAGACAACGATTATCTAACATGGAAGGATTGTCCAACAGGAGAAAACCTTTGTGTGAAGACTTTCCCGGATGGAAAAAAAAAACTTCCTGCAACGGAAACATCCCCCGCTCAATGACAAGAAAGCTAATAAATTAATAGATTATTCAATAAATAAATAAATAAATAAATAAGATAGTGGAAAAGGGGGAAAATTACAAAATAAATAATTACAGGCACATTTCTTCCGTCTTAATTTAACTCCAACTGGTATCTCTTAGCGTTACAGTTGCTTGTTCCTAAAGCGGCAATCCGCTACTCTGTGTCTCTTTCTACAGTCTCTACTAGCGAACAAACTAACAAACTGTGAAAGCTGGAAGGATAAAAGTTTTTCAACATGGAAGTAAATCCAATTTCGCTCCTTGACAGGATTCCACTTAAAAATCCATCATCCCTTCCAGCTGTGATAGCTGCTGTCTCGATTATCGCCACATCCTTCCATGGAGTGCCTAGCCGTTCGGAAAGCTTGCATCACCAGGTTTACTTTTTCTAAGTTTATCTCCTCGCCACCTTGTTCATTTGTTCGTTTGTTCCTGAAATCCCTTTGCATTGGCATCCATGGCAGATACCTGCCACCCTACAGCTTTCGTGCCTGAACCAGTTTGTTGATGTCGTTGAATGTTGTCACCATGGCCGGATTCGAGAGATCATGATAGTTGCCACAGTCCTTGTGCATTCGCTCGCAGTTGACGCCGTCCTGGCCATCCTTGGCCGCTCGCATGTACTTGAAGAACCGCAGAATGTCGGGATTGTCATTGGTCGGTTTGCGCAGTTCGTTCAGTTCCCTGGAGAGGGGAAGGGGGTGGAAACAAGAAGAGAAATAAGATTAGGGTTGATAATTCATCATGCAGTTCTGTGAGATACACGAATGTGATGATGTACCGTAAAACGGGGTAACATTGATAATTTTTTGAAGTATTTTCTAAATATTTTTTTACATCAATTAATGTTCCTCAAATTTAATTTTTTTAAGCAAATACTGAGGATCCTAGAGTTAATTCGTTAGTAATATGTTTAACGAAAATTATTGCATTTGCACTATCTTTTTATTATTGTGACCGAACATCAGTATTTTGATTTGGGGTTACTTTTATAATGCTCGATGAATGTAGAAAAACATGTGTGATTCTCAAACAATTTAGTTCAAGAAATATGAAACTTTGAATGAGTAAATAATCGGAAACATCATAAGCAATAATAAGACAACATTGAATTGGTGATTGCTATATCAGTAATACATTTCATAAGTGATGGATTGAGTGCTTTTTCAAACAGACAAAAAGCAAGAAAATTGTTTTTCAATATGTTTGGCAAACATGTAACACAAACTAGATAAAAATTAAATGCAATATCAAGGGAAATGCCCTAAGCTACAAAATGGAACCAATGTTTCTAATTCGGAAAAAAAGGCAGAGAGTAAATAAAATCATTATATTCTACTATCAAATTTACCCGCAGTATCAAGATACTAGAGATGAGCGATCCGCTCCCGAGCTGTTCTAAAGACCCGATTCACTGAAGTGAGCTGATGACCTGCGATTCATTTTTTTAGAAACCGCAGCTCATCAGCACACTGTTATCACAAATCTAAACCATTCAATCCGTCACTTAGAGCGGAATTTATCAAAAAAGCACGCATTGATCTTTTTTTTTTAATTTATATTTATTTATTTATTTATTTACTTGTATACTTGTAGAGTACGAGTTTTCTCTTATAAATTTCTACAATCGGTTTCTTCGTTGTTCACACCACAAATGCAATTCAATCCACTTTAACAAAAAGGTTCAAAACATAACTTACTTTAATACAAAACTACTTTTAAATATATGCTATTCCAAACCTCAACCCTTTGCTCATTCCATTCCATTCAATTCCCTCCACTGAACCAGTTCAAACTCTCACGGTAGAATCCTGCAGCTGATTGTATAGATTGAATGTAAGTAGGAAGCTGATTCCATAGTATAATTGCACGAACAAAAAAGGTACTACCGTAATGAGAGGAGTTATGCTGCGGTACTACGAAGTGTCTTACTCGAGCGCTTCTGAATGGTTGTAATTTTTCATGAAGATAGTTTGGGCCATGATGTATAATTTTGAATCTCAGTTTAAAGAATTCATAAAATGGGCAGCCCAAAAGCTGCCGTTGTAAGTGTGTTACTCTAGCGTACCTTGACAAATTGGAAACCCAACGTACGCAGTGATTTAAGGCAACTCTTAAACGATCCAAAGCATTAGCAGAAGCATTTAAAATCAGTTCAAGTCCATACGAAAAATGTGGTTTCAAAAGAGAGCTGAAAAGCTTGATTTTGGTTGATACCGATAACATAGCAGCCGTTAGCCTTAAATGTCGTAATCCAGCATAAATCTTTCCACATTGGGAATTTACTTGAGAATCCCATTCTAAATCATTTTGTAATATTATACCGAGATTAGAAGCCTTGTTAACAAAGTCAATAATATCATTATTTATAAAAAGATTTGGTAACTCAATGCGTGTCTGCCGTTTGGAAATAAACATCGCTTTTGTTTTAGATGAATTTATCGGAAGCAGATTTCTTGAAGACCATAGCGATACACACTTCAAATCATTATTGATTAGACGAGCTATTTCTTCTACAGATGCATCAATTGAACAGAGGTATAATTGAACATCATCCGCAAACATGTGGATCAAACAGACTTGCAATACTGACTGAAGGTCATTGATGAATAATGAAAATAAAAGAGGACCCAATACTGACCCTTGGGGTACACCTGATAATATATTAATGGGAGCCGAAAGATTACCTTCAATATCCACCACTTGAGTGCGAGCACTTAAATACGAATTGATCAAAGAAACAGCTTCACGACAGAATCCGAACTGGTGTGATAATTTCTTCAGTAGTTTGACGTGTGAGACCCTGTCAAAAGCTTTAGAGAAATCAATCAAAAGTAAAAAAGCAACTTCTTTTTTATCAATTAATTTATGGATATCATCATGCACCTTAAGAAGTGATGAAGTTGTACTGTGCCCTGACCTAAAACCTGATTGGTAAGGGCTGAGTAAGTTAAATCGGTTAATATACTCTTGAATCTGAGATTTAAGAATCTTTTCAAAGGCTTTAGATAATGAACATAGGATACTGATTGGGCGAAGGTTATTCAAGCTAGTGCCTGCAGGCTTTTTCCGAATTGGAATAACTTTTGCGGTTTTCCATGCACGAGGAAATCTAGCGGTCGAAATGAACAAGTTGAACAGGTAGGAAATCGGAGTTATTACGAAGGGTAAAATCAATTTGATGAACTTTAAAGGAACACCATCCATACCAATCGCGTTGGATGAAATTGATAAAATTGCAGACAAAATTTCCAAATCAGTGCAAGGAGAAAAATTGAAACCTTCAGGATTCAGTGGTGGTATCGTCGGTTATTCAGGATCTATCGTAAAATTTTCACCAAAAAAGGCATTAACTTCATCACTAGTATTATGAATCTTCCCACTGCTATTAGAGTTTCTGGCAACATTCAAATGTTTAAGTTTTTTCCACAGCTCTTTACTAGAGTTAGCAGCTTCCAAGCCACTGCTCAAAAAATTTGATTTAGCCTTATTTATCAGACTGGTTACCTGATTACGAAGTCTTCTAAACTGAATATGATACGATTCAATTCTACTTGATATCCAAAGTCGATATGCAATGTCTCTCGCAATCATTGCATTCAATATATCATTGTTGAACCACATCGCATTGGGCTTGGACCGCACAGATCGCAGAGGAACGAAATTTTCGAAAAGATCAACTATGTGTGCATTGAAGAACTCGAGTGCCAAGTCAGAATCACTAATACTATATAACGGGGACCAATCAAAATTTTTCAACGTACTTTGTAGTAGAGGGTAGTCAATACGATTATAAGCCCTAAATAACTTAGGGAGATCCAACTTTCTACGAGATATATTAAGTGATGAAAACATTATATCGTGTTGAGAAAAACCAGGAGCAGCAACTTGATTGAAATTTAGAACAAAATCAGTATCGTTAGTTATCAGTAAATCAATCAGTGAACTTCCACCAGAGTAAAAGTGCGTTGGTTCATTGTTGACAATGTTTAATCCAAAATTTTCCAGAACACTGCAAAAGCGTGAAGTTCTAACGCTGGTTTTACTCACATCAATGTTGAAATCTCCAATCAAAATAACATTCGAATAATTAAGTGACAGTTCGGAAAGCTTTTGATCTAGCAAACTAGAGCAGTCAAATCTAGGTGGCGAATAAATAGCACCGAGGAGAAATAATTTATTGTTTACTCGAACTTCAATAAACATGTATTCGGTTCGATTACAGTCTTCCAATTCCGTTAGAGAATCAGAGACAGCAATAACTCTGCAATCAAGATCTAGTTTGTGATAAATACAAATGCCCCCCCCCCCCCCTCTGCTGTACTTGCGATCGTTCCTTAAAACTCGGTAACCATCCACGGCAATTAAATTATCGTCAATACTTTCATTTAACCAGGTTTCAGATACGCAAATAATATCAACTTTGCTACTAGCAAAACAATGCTTAAATTCGTTGAATTTGCTTAATTGACGAGCACACAAACTTTGCACATTCATATGACATACGTTCAAGCAATCATCCAGTAGCGCCACATTCATAACAGCTCGTGGGATATCAGCAATACCTTGTCCTGTCCGTGCAATATTAATCTGATTAACCGACATCGAGAAACAGAAACATGATCAACAGTGAGAGCATGAACCGGAAAAGTAGATTGAAGGAAGGGAATGGAAAGAGCATCGAGTCAAAGAACAAAACAACATACATTTCTATCGTTTTCGTTAATATTCTACTCATCTGATAATATGATGTACGATCGCTCACTCAATTGAAGTCGATAAAACGCAACAATGTCTGCTTCGGCGGTGACTATGGTGATGGAGTGAGACAACGGGAACAACGGCAGCAACAGCAACAACAGCAACAGCAACAACAGCAACAGCATCAGTTATAAACAACGCCCATGATGATTTATCCGAGGTCCAACGATGTCTAACTTTTAGGAGGGAAGATATCAAGGATAATTGTAGGAACGGAGTCATGGAAAAATCAATGAAGGAATAAATGAAATTCGTAGGAAAGGGTTTGGTATAGACGGCTTTAATGATGTTGATGTTTGATCGATCCGTACTCCGCCAACTGGTCCACGTAGTAAATCGGCAGAGCTGGAACGTCTTCAGTCGGCTTCACAAAAATGATCCCATCCTTGGAGAAAACATGATGAATCTTCCCAGAACGTTTCAGCTTAAGAGCAGTCCCTTTGATGTAACGAGCTGATTCGGTGAGATTCTCATTTATGTAGATGCGTCTGTCAACGTCGTATCCAAGCTGAGTCAAGTTCAAATTCTTCCTAGCGAAATAGTGATGGAAAAATTCATCCCTGGATGCTCTGAAGGCAAACTGGATCAAAATTGGTGGTGTTGCACCCGCAACAATAGGTGTTCGAGCCAATCGTTTGGTATAAACAACTGGGGCATTCGTATCACTGTATTCAAGCGCAGCTGCAACTTTCTGAACTAGAGCACTAGTGTTCTCCATGGGGCTGTAGGGTACTCCAGTCAAAATAAGATCGTTTGATTTCGGCAATCTGTTAACAGCATCCTTGTTTTTCAGCACATCCAATTCCGTTTTTGCATGAGATTCGTTTAGCCGATTTAAATCACGGGCGTAGTCGGCCTTCAGTTGGTGCACCTCTTCACGCAGTGTAGCAATTTCACAAACAACGGCTTTATTGCTTGACTCG